TGGAATAACACAGCGGGTGCAGCACAGGTGCCAAAATCAAGGTTTATTTTTGCCTCCGTTTCCATTCAAAACCTCATAGTATGATGTCTTTATCGGAAACTTTTTTTTGAAAGAGTTTTTCATGGAACTTCACAAAAGTCTGTCAGCAGAAGGGTTTTTACAACGCATCCTTCTTCACATTCAAAGTCATAATAATACCTTGACATATGCCCATACAACTCTAGAGCAACAAGGCTCACACAGCCAGCCAAGTCAACCACCATGCCCCATGCTAAACCCCCTGCCTCCTCCTGCTCCACTTCTCTGTTATGCTTCTTCCATCTGGTGTCCATTTTGCACCTCTACTGGTCCTTGGAGGGGGAGAACAGGGCCTCCCAAAGTTCACCCTATCCACTCACCCAACCCTAAACTAGATGGAGTTTTCACAGCAATTAAGGGTGGAGGTGTGAGTGGCTCTTTTCCAGGCACCCACTGGTCCTCCCCTACCGCTGGTACCAGCGCTTTCACATCTTCCAGACTGAAGCCATTAGCGTGGCTGGCCCGCCAGCAGGGACTAATTGTTGGCCTCTCAGGAAGTGACAGTGGCTCTAATGGTCATGCCGTCATTTAGAACCTCCTGAGATCAGAGACAGGTTTACAATGACTGGAGGTGCAGACATGCTTTTTTATTTACGAGACCAGTTTCAGATTGATTTGTGCCACTGAGCTTGCAAAGCACTTTGATCTTGTCTTAAGGTGTTTAAATGGCCGAATTCTGGACATTAAGTTCCGTTATAATTGCACATCAACATTTACAGGTTGGTTTTAACCAACCGGAACATTTTTGTTCAGTTTCTGTCATCTGCAAAATGGAAGACTTGTGTGTGTATGTGACTGCAAACAGTGTCAATCTGATTGTTCAGTTGGATGAGGAGTGAATACTCGCTGCAGTTCCTTAGCAACACCTGAGTTAAAACGGCATTGTCCTCTCATGGACAAACTGAGCAAACAGACTTAAATCAAAACATCAAAGACATTAAATTATCTGAGTTAATGAGAGACACATCTTTATAAACACAAAATTCAAAGATATATAGACTTTATATATTTTCATATATAATCCAGATTTACGTTAACAGTTGACACAAATGTATTTGTACATGTGGAATACATTTAAGACATTGGACATTATTATACATATTTTCTTCATTTCTACTTTTAACCTGAACCCAAAAATGCTAAATATTCTTCTTTTTTTTAAAAAGGGGACATGACAGGTGAGACTAGACAGGACAGAGCAGAAAACAGTTTGGCTGTTGGGTGTGTGTATTAGTGAAAGTGCATGGCGGTCTGTTGTGGAGGGTTCCCGGGAGTATTTCTGTGAGTGTAGAGGAGCCAGAAAAAAGAGAGAAGGAAGAATAAATAAAGTTTTCCTGGCAGGGGTGGCTAATGATATCCCACTGTCCCCCTAACCCCTAATCCTAACCCTAATACCTAACACATAATCCTAACCCCTAACCCTAATACCTAACACATGATCCTAACCCCTAATCCTAACCCTAATACCTAACACATAATCCTAACCCCTAACCCTAACCCTAATACCTAACACATAATCCTAACCCCTAATCATAACCCTAAAAAACAGTGGGTAAATGTACGTGACCCTAAATGCAATGTTTTCTGATATTCTCCAGATGTCAGACCTGTGTATAAAAATGCAGGCTGCTCATTCATTTCAATGATGCTAGTCCTGCAGCCCAGAGGATACACATAAACTCTGTCAGAAAGAAAAAAAAGAAAAACTGAAAGTGGCCCAATGGAAGTCTTGCTCAAAGTGGACTTCTTGGATCGCCTCACCAGTAACTGAATCAATATGTTAAGGAGTGTATAGGGCTCTAAGGATGGCAATGTCATCATCCCAAGGTGAAAGGAGAGTGGCCTCTGGGTAAGGTATATTGTTCATTGAAGAAATGATAGTGTATATATATACATATATGTATTATATATTAAGTTTTTAAACACTGAACATGTTCGATTGGCCAAATTACAGAAATGATGAAGCAAAACCAGAGGGTCAAATAAAAAGACCGTCATCCTTATATTTAGTCTCATGTTAAAGACACACACTCCCCCCCTCCTGTCATCTCTTCTGTTTCCCTGCACACATTTGCACACAGGCCAACTCTAAATGCACAGTACATCATCTAATTAAGTCACTGATCATTTCATTGAGATCGTTAGGAGAGCCTTGTTAAGATTTTATGCTTGATCAGCGCTAAAGCTGCAGCCTGGTGGTGTCAGCCTCCCTGCAAACAGATACAATATGATTAATATGTTACAGTATGTGGCTAGCATTGTACGGTAGGTCTATACATATGCATGTTTTGGGCAAAAAAGATGTTCTGGTTGAAAGCTGCGGTGTTAGAGTTTTATTGTGACTCTAGTCCCTTTCACACATTCACCACAACCCTGAAATTATCTGGACGTTACCTGGAGGAGCTGTATTTGATAAAGTTGAACCAGACTTTAAATAGGCTTTTCCCTAGTACAAAGTCTGTGTAATGCCCCACTGAGCCCATGTGTGATTCATTGTCCGGAGAAGTCACAGCGAGAAAGTGGCTGTGTTGATGACGTGTCTTACATGCTGCTGGTGCAAAAAAACGAATAATACAAACATCCAAGGGCGAAGAATACGAAGGCGCCAATAAGAATGTCTAACTGGAGAAACGTAGCAACCTCTGTTGGGAAGGGGGACGCCAAAATCCCCAGACAAATTCAAGGAACGGGCAGAGACTCAGTTGTTTACAACCAGGTGGCAACTTCCGTTTCTGCCGAGTGAAGCCGAAGCGAAAATGTCTTAAAACTTGCATTCTCGCAACAGACCAGCAGGGGGCGACTCATCTGGATGCAAAAAGAAGTCACATTGGATCGAAGTCTTTGAGAAAGTGACTCTACTTCTCTCTTGATGTATTACCTCAGTAAACATTGTAAACATGAGTTTATGGTCTCAATCTCTAGTTTCAAGTCTTCCTCAATACAGCATGATGTTCATTTAGTAAATGATGGTCCATTTAGAATCAAACAGACCATAAAGCAGGGTAGGCTTTAGGGCGGGGCTACTGTAATTGACAGGTCTCCACCAGAGATGTATACAGCACCTCTACTTCACTCCACCGCATTCTAAATATGGTAACTTACGTTCATCCGTTGCAAAAATGCAAAGATAGCAACGGCTGTAATCCAAGCTGTGATGGCGAAATCGCACAAACTTGAGGCTTCATAACCGCAGTCCACAAACCAATGGGTGACATCACGATGACTACATCAACTTATATACAGTCCATGTGTACGACCAATATACAAACTGTGTCATGTCCTAACTCCTGAATGCTCTACCCAGGCACCACCTCTATACCAAACAGAGTATTTCTTGAAGGTGAGAACACGTCTGACACTGAGGTCAATGTCAGACGTGTTCTTTTGTGTGCGACATGTGTAAAAGGGGAACTTCAGGCAATGTCCTGACCTGATTTTACGTACATTGTACATTTGAGATAACGTCTGTAGTCTCAATTTTGTACTAAATCACAAGGCACACCTGAGTTTGAAGCTCAAAACTATTATGGTGAATGGTGAATGCTAGTTGGTTTTCTTCATCAGGCTGTGACTCTGCTATTAAAAGCCTTTCTGCCCCTTTTTTATTTCATTGTTCATTCTTTTCACATGCAAACAGCAGCATTGTATAATGTTGTTATAAGGATTTTAGTAATGTGGCCATTTGAACAGGATCCGAAGGCAGACCTCAGTTCAGTCCAGTACCCACTCACACAGTTTGACATTCACCAATGCGTTCTTATTTTGGATTTGTTCTTATGTAAAAACAGAATCTACAACACTCGAGAGCACACAAGTCCTACGATATTATAGGATTAAATTAATAATAGTATATTTTTTGTCATTTTAAAATATTTTCAATAATTATTTTCATTATGGTCATAAATTAAACAAACAAAACACCATGCCTACGTTCATATCAATTATGTTAATTGGGAACCCATTTTAGAGATGGAACCATTTTTACTTCATCTGAACGAAAAATAGCATCCTATGCATCTTTTTTGTGTTATTTTATTTACTAAATATGAGTTCAGCTATTGAGTTTACTTCCTGCAGAAGTAGATCTGTGGAAGTTTCTTTTTACGTTTGTAGTCCGGTGCTTCCTCTTTACACTTGTGCTTGGCCATTCTTGGATTAAGTGTCTCAACTTTTCTTTTAAAACTCTGTGGTGCACACAGTCCTGCAGTCTCGTGGCCTTTCATGGGGATTGGTGGGACATTTACCTGCTAATGAGGATCGACCGGCACACGCCTTCAATTTACGAGGACAATGGGATTCATTATAAGAACACAGGTGCGATTCTGTGGTTTAATAACACAGCATGAATCAGTCCGAGACTTTTCTTGGGACCTTTCTCAAGAACAAATTTAAGAAAAAACTCAGGAAAATATAGGAGTGTAAGCTAAAAGTAGTGCTGTCAAGTTTGAGTATAATAATAATCATTTTAAAAAAGGGTTGGGTTACTATTATAACTAGAAAATAATAATAGTAATAATGATAATAATAATATATAATCATCAAATATGACCCACTGTTTTTTAATAGTATGGCATGCAGCAGTAAAACATTCTTGGTGGTTTGATCCACCAACCACCCAGACAAGAGTTTGAGTCAAGTTAAGTCTCCACAGAAGTTTTAATATTCTCTTCAGGCTCATATTTATACTAAAACACCACAGACTGTCAAAATCAAATAATGATAACCAGTTCCAATAAAAGAAACTGCATAAAATATTTGAACTGGAAAGAGGTCAAAATGACCCAAAAATCAAAAGGAGGGTTCGAAGTCAAAAATCCTTCTCAACCTCCTCTTCGTTTGCTTCTTCCTCTTTGTGATTACATGTGATGGGTGAAACCAACAAAGGATAATGGCTACAACTTGAATTCACATAATCAGGGTACTTCATCAAGGAACTTTGATAACAAAATCTTTCATAACAAAAGAAGTATCGACCAGTACCAGTGTGTGTGTGTGTGTGTGTGTGTGTGTGTGTGTTATCCCTTTATGCTCTTATCCCTGTTTGTTCGTCCACACAAAGCTCATGTGTTTGTCTACCCTGAGCTGTGAGTGATTACTGTTCATTGGAAGGGGCAGCCCTTTAATTAGTCGGGGGGTCTCCGGGGAGCCATTACCACGGGGGAATCTTGCCCCTCTTTATTAGCCCATTTTAATATTGACTATAAGGAAAGAGATACACGGGGCGGGGCACTTTGGTTCCCTCAGACGGGACACCAGCTCCTGTGAATATGCATGCTGGGATGTGGGCTGTGGAGTAGTTAGAGGGGGTTCAGGGATGCGTGACAGGGGTGATGGATGAACAGGGTCTGGCATCATCTGGGGTCCCTCACACTGTAACAAAAGGGATGCAAGTTCCGTTGGACTTAATGAAGAGACTGTGGAAATGTAGCACGAGAAAACAATAAGCATTTCTGATGAAAGGGAGGTGCAGTAAAGGGTTAAGTCACTTAGATAAGGAAGATGTGTGCGAAACATGAGATAGAAGAGTTGCCCCAGACAGTATTTGAAATGTGATGTGATGAAGTTACCAATTTTATTGGATTTATTTATTGTAGGACTGTGAATGCTGGGAGCCATGTGCACAGCTGAGACAAGGAGATGTTCCTTTTTGTTCTCCCTGCGAACAAACAAATAGACAACTGCAATGAGTGACTGATTGAACCGCCAGATTGTAAGACTGTCTAATTAGTTATGTGGCAGAATCAACAACGTTGTATATATTGTATATATATTGCCAAGATAAAGGTTAATTTATATATGGCAACAACTCACCTCGGCCTGTTTGCTCTTCCCAGGGTGTTCGGGCAAAACAGTTCCCCGGGGGCTTGAGCACCCATTTATAGTTCCGGGAAGTACCAACTACAGGAAGCGGGTAGGGGTGAAGTAAACACTAACACTAACACAAGGAGGAGGTTGAGGTGGTGGACAGGTTTAAAAAACCCAAGTCTCCCACCTGGAGACTTCATGTCCTGTTTGAAACAAATACTTTGTTGCCTAGACTTAATCACGTAGTTTTGGTTTCAATGTGTTAGTCAGTTTAAACCAAACAATGATTGATGAAAATGCCAACCGTATTTCGGGAGGAAATATGTTTCCTTCGAAACGTAATGGAGAGTGCAGTTAAGTTATATGGGAACGTCATTTTGTAGGAGACCAAGGGCACCAAGGAAGGCTGAATATCTGAATTAGGGCCCGTGGTTACCACCACTTCCTGACACAAAATTACCGTAAAATAACAAACTCTGAACAGTAGAATTACAAACAAATGACTGCATCAGAGTAAACTGTGATAGTAGCAGTAATTCCTTCCTGTCAAAGTCACCCTTTTCTCTGGTGCCAAAGCTACAGAAGGGTGAACCACATCACAGACCTGATCTCTTCCAATTTCATCCCTACACCTCATTGAAAGCTACTTTAATTAAAAATCAGAGTGGAAAAATGAACACATTTCCCTCCACAACTCTCTTTCTGTCTCTTACTTTCCTTTTCTCTCTCTCCTTGAGTCCATTTTATGTCATTTTTTTTGCTATTGTTCCTCAGCTGCTCATTTCAAATCAAGTCAAATCAAGAGGGGCATTTGAGGGTCTGACTAATTACCATCCCTGATGCATGTATTTTAGCCATCTTGTTTTGGAATAGAGGGATTAAGGAATTGAGAGACATATGTTGTCAAGCTCCAACCTTGGAGAGACCTGCGACGCTAAAGTGGCTTCAGTGGTATATCAAACCTCTCAGAAACCTCCCGAATGCAATTACAGCAGGGGATTATGCCCCTTACTCCACACGAGGATAAACTCAAATTGGCCACAGTATGTTTAAGTGTATGTTTTTTTGTGCATGTGGAAGGGCTTGTTATTGGCGAGGTAGAGTGTGCTCCAGACAAACAAATATGTGAGGTTGCAATCTGTCTTTCATTTGCTGCCTTGATAATATCAGGTGAGGGTGTGCCGTCTTTATGTCCATGATCTTAGATTCAGTGAGTCCTGTCTCTTTGTCCATATGGTCGGATTCTTAATGAGATGAGATACAGGCAGAGGGACAGATCAATTGATGGAGTAGAAAAAAAAGAGACTGTTACTGTCAGAGACAAATGTTAGAATTCTGTTACACAGACTTTATTTCAGACATTTAACCAAAAACACATTCAAAAAACACATTGACTTTGAGACGAGGGCAAAAATGCTGACTCACTTCTGGGTTTTAGTACATATTTAGTACATATTCCTCAAAATTATTTTGTTTGTAAAGCACGTAATCATGAACGAGGAAGTTTAACGATTTCAAAAGCCACAAACGAGTCCGACAGCGATCTTTCAGCCAGGAGACCATTGTTCGTTCCCCATGTGAAACGGGAGGTCAATGTTGATCTGCTGGTCACGTAACGTGCGTAATGTATAGTTACGGTACTTCCGTGGTTATTTGAACCCAAACGAGAATCTTTTCCTAAACGTAAGTGCTTTTGTTGCTGAAACCTGACTAAGTTGTATCCTGTGGAGACGAAGGTTTATGGACTGTATCCATGAACGAGAGGAAATTGACACATGTTGCTGGCTTTAGTAGGAAATGCACAAAAAATGAGGAGTAACTCTTCATAAGATATCATATGAACCATTGTAGGAGGATACCTTGCTACTGTACAGTGCTACTGACACTAAGCGGCAACCTCTGGTGCTGAGACATTAAACCAACACAGAAGTTCCAATAACTGCAGTTCTTCGAATGGCTGCTTGAGGCTGGTTCCAAAAGCGAGTCATTTCCCATAGACCGCCATGTTAAAATACTCAAATTTACACCAGAAATAAACATGTTTACAGAGTCAATGGTTGACACTGAATGTAATATGCAGGAGGCCACGCCCATTGTGATCACATGACCGCGCCCCCAATTCCCTTTCCCCCATTCTCATCAGGTCTCCCTTGAAGTAGTTTATCGGACTTTCTTTTGGAGACAAAAATATCTGCGAAGGTAGAACGTTTTCATGTGTTCCTTAAAGTAGCCACAAGCTCTCTTTGGGTCAAGTACAAACAATGAGGCAAATGTACATCCCACTTTTAGGAGAAGAAATAAAAGAAGGAGAATGAGTTTCGGTTAGTCAGGTGGATGTGTTTATGATTGAATGAAATGTGACAGCAGAGGGGGAATATGAACATGTCACGCACCTGACTTACCAATCACAACATCTTTAAACTTACTCAGTCAATTTATGTCAAATTTCATTTCAACTGGAGAAACATTTGGGGGAAACAGGACTTTTCCATTCCTGAGCCAACATAATGAAGGCACTCCCCATTGATCTCCTCTCCTCCTCTCAGCCACCGAGGGGTCACATGTGCAGCAGAGATTGAGGGGCATTAGTGCTCCATGGTAATCAAAGGCAGGGGATAGAGAGGGAGGGAAGCGGGGATATAAAGGGACTTGCTTGGGCGCTAAAGCAGCCCCTCTGCACCCAGTTCCTTTTAATTAGGCTCACAGCAGGGACGCCGCACTAGACACACACACACACACACACATCGCTCATCACTCACACACAGATGCGTGCACGTACTCATATAAACTGACAGCCACATACCTTTTCCTGCTTTATTATTCCAGATTCATCTCCACTTTCTGTTAAATTGGGGGGTTGCTGTGTTCTGATGTTTTGTGACCCTTTTCTTTCTGCTGTGTCGTGGGCTTTTTGTCCCAATAAAGGGATTAAAGGTGACATGTTCAGCTGAAATCAATTTATAACCTCTAAAGAATTGTAAAGTCTCTGTCTCTGCAGATAAATGATGAAACGAAACGCAGTTGTTTTTGTATCTAAATTGATTTCTGGAAAGTTTTATGTTTTTTGATCATTAAATATTGCAGATGAAATCATAACTCACTTCAGAAACAATTCCTTATTCTTCCAACTGCAGTTAAATTCTACATCTGTAATACTGTATGGAATTAACTTGAATTCTCCACCATAAACATAAAGCATACACTTTAGTATCTCAGCTCATTAGATGTATCGACAAGATCAATATTTTTTTCACAGTCGGCCATCTGCCTGTACTCCTCTGTTTGCTGACATTTGGTCAGCGACCTATAACCTCTCAGGGAAATGTCACGACACCAAAAGTCAGAGACCCTAAAAAGTATATTTAATGGGTAGAACCATTCAAACTCATCTTCATCATTCCTCTGAGAAGCATCCTCCCAGGACCCAAACCCAGCTCAAATGAGCACTTGTATATTTGTTGATGACTGTGATGAGTTAGGGCAGTGCTGGTATTTTCACATGCCAGGTGCACACTTCATATGAGTTCATGCCAGTTGAGGAGTGCTGACAGTGAAGTACTGGGCAGGAGGGGAGGGAGGAGGGGCTTTGATAGATGAAGGTCAAAAATGAAACACATTTCATTTTAGTCACATTAAAAAGGGATTCAGTAGGCTATATCATCAGGATATCATCACAACGTATTTTACCTGGTGCTGTGTCTGAAAATAATCCTCGGGGGGAATATGAATTTTGAACATGTATATCAATATTCGCTCATCTGTGCAATTATCCAGCAAAGGCCAATTCAAGGCCATGTCAGTTACTCAGTGATTGCATTTCTTTGCAAGTTTCTCTGTAGTCTCTGAGCTGTTGAAGCCTGCTAATAGTTTGACTCATTGGCATTCACTTAACCAATCAGATGTTTATAAGACAAGGGCTAAATAATGACCAAAACCATGATACAAAGTTCACACTGACCATCAATAGATGTGTTTTCTATCAACGTATCCTAAGCACATTTTGAAGAATCGCATTAGAATAGCTGTATGGAAATGGCAAAATTCTATAAATCTTCCTCAAAAACCTTTTTAAGCTCGCTTGAGGTGTTTTTTGTCTTTGTCGATAAAGAGTTGGTTCTCTAAATGAGATATGGAAACACCTTTGCAGAATAAGCGAACATTTAACTCACATGACTGATCAGCTGTTTTAGCTGTAAGCGTCTTCACAGATATATATTTATATTGTCTTTGTCTCCAGACAGCATGAAACATGGTCAATACTAGCTGACATGAATGAACAAATTAATTAACAAATTCCTAAAGACCTCTCTCCATTTTGCTTTTGTAGATAGACGGCCAAGGTGACTTGTTTTGTTTCCTGTTCACAACCTCTACTTCTTCTTCTACTGGAATTACTGGCAGATTATAATCATGTGTAGCCTATAGCGACAACTTCAGTCCCAGTTTATTCTTTCCAAACCAGTTTCTGGAACAAGTAATTGGCATTTCTTCTTTTGTGACGTTTCAAAACTTCACTTGAACCATTGAATGGAAACACAGCTGATGATGTATGAAAACCACAATAAAACGCTTCCTATGCTCCAGCCGATGCTAGGCTAAACTTTAAATACTGGCAGAAATGTACGCTTATTGCAACAATATATCAGCTATAAACAATCAAAACATGAAATGTGTGATCAGTGCAAAAGAAACCAAGACAAAGTTGCAAAATTTACAAACTACTCATATATCAGTTGACACTTTGTATTCAACCAACATTTCAACTGATTTCAATGCTAAAACTTCAACTGAACTTTTTCAAGCAGCGAGCGCACATAAACTTTAGTGAAATGTTGTCCCGACACCTATAGTTCCACTGCATGCTGAGCTGAGATACATTTCACAGGTTTTACATGTTCAGCTGATCTGCTGTGAGTTAAAGATTAGATGGTTATGCTAGCAATTAACTGGAGTAAATAAATCTGAAGAGCACAAATGAAACTCTTTTCCCCTATAACAGAGTGCTGCAGGAATGAGTCCTACAATCAGGAAATGAGTC